CCGGCTCTGGCCCTGGGCGGCCTCCACCTTGCTGGGCCTCCGGCTCTGGCCCTGGGCGGCCTCCACCTTGCTGGGCCTCCGGCTCTGGCCCTGGGTGACCTTAGTCCTGCTGGGCCTCCGGCTCTGGCCCTGGGCAGCCTCCACCTTGCTGGGCCTCCGGCTCTGGCCCTGGGTGACTTTGGTCCTGCTGGGGCTCTGGCTCTGGCCCTGGACGGCCTCTGTCCTGCTGGGCCTCCGGCTCTGGCCCTGGGTGGCCTTGGTCCTGCTGGGCCTCCGGCTCTGGCCCTGGGCAGCCTCCACCTTGCTGGGCCTCCGGCTCTGGTCCTGGGTGGCTTTGGTCCTGCTGGGGCTCCGGCTCTGGCCCTGGGTGGCCTCCATCTTGCTGGGCCTCCGGCTCTGGCCCTGGGTGACTTTGGTCCTGCTGGGGCTCTGGCTGTGGCCCTGGGTGGCCTTGGTTTTTCTGGGGCTGTGGCTCAAGCTTAGGTGTTCTCTGTTCTCCAGCAGGTCTGAGGATTGAGTCTTCAGCAGTGGGGAGTCAGAGGATGTCACAGCAGTGGCTGAGGTGCTCTTGTATTCCTGGCAGATAGTGGACGTCTCTGTCTCTGAGGTGGACATGGTCCTGACTGGGAAGGATGAACCAAGAGCATCTGTTAGGCTGCCCTGCTCAGACAGCTTCAGGAGAAGGAGGTGTAGGCCTCACCCTTGCCTCTATTCCAGAGGCCTTACATGGCCAAGGGGAAGGTCTGCCAGATGACGCCAGCCCAGCGCTCCTCGGCAACCCGAGCCCTGCAGGTGGGCCCGGGCTGTGGGATAAATGGGAGACACTGAGGGCTCACCATGCCCCGTTCAAAGTGAGGATTCTTCCTCCTGCTCTACAATCACAGAACTAGAAGTAGCAGAGCCCAAATGCACATGCAGGCCAAGGAGTCTCTGACCCCTGACTTCTGCCTAATCTGCTGCTTTGGCTTACTCAGGCCTAGCGAGAGTATTGGGGACTTACAGCCAAAGACAGAGCCTGAAGAGGTCTGGTCGAGGTAGCTGTCGGACAGGGACCTCATCCTGTTGGGTGCAGGCTCCCACTGCTCCTCCTAGGGCAGAAGACAGGTGGGGCCGTTGCAGGCCATGGGAGGCCCTGGGCCAGCGGCTCAGCTCTGGAAGGAAGGCCAGCAGCTCAGAGCTCCTCAGGGGGCCCAGCTGGGGCTGGGCAGCACGAGAGGTGAAGACTGGACAGGAAGGGGAGTGGCCGGACTCGACCGGCAGGGCACTGTGAGAAATTTCGGCAGTGTTCAAGAGGCTGCTTGGGCCTCAGGTCTGCCGTCTGCAAAATGCAAATTAGTTTCAATGTGGGACAGTCCTCTGTAAACTGTAAAGTGCTGTACCCTGGGGAATGGCTAGTGAAGAACTGAGCTTTTTATGCTTACCATTCTATCCCATTTCATCCTCCCACATATCTGGGAGGGAGCTACCATTTTTACCATTTCATGGACCAGAAACCAAGGTTCCAGGAGCCTAAGCAGCCTGCCCTCGACACAGCAAAGAAGCAGAGGAGCAGAGTTGAATCCAGGCCTGCGGGACTCCACAGCCCAGCTCTTAGCTGCTGGCCGCCTCAGGCCCACTCACGCCTACGGGCAGTGGGGGGGGTGTGGAAGCTGGGAGGGGGCAGGCAGAGTCCCAGCAACCAGCAGGCGCCGGCCCCACACCTCCCCAAGGGAGGGAGCTCACAATAACCTCGGGGCGGGGGGGGGGGGGCAGAAAGTTTTGTATTTTTGTGTTCCAGTGTGAGCTAGAGAACTGTAGCGCTAGCCTTTGCCATTTACAGCAAGGGATGCTGGTCTTCCATTTACTTCATTTTCATAAAGTTTCCTTTGAACACAAAGGTACTTGCTGTCCGTCAGCAATTGAGTGGGCAGATTGTGGGACTTTCACAGGATGGAATTCTCAACCAGCGATGAGAACAAGCAGTCAACTTAGATACATCTCACAAACATGCTTAGCGAAGGGAGTCCCCAGACAAGCGGGCACACCGTATTTGCCCACTGATGTGAAGAAACATGCACGTTCAGTTGTGATGTTAAGGATCAGGACAGCCTTGGGGGTGCACTGGGCTAAGGGAGGGGGCATGAGGGGGCTTCTGGGGAGCTGGAGTGTGTTCTTTCGATAGGTAATGGCGTCATGTGTGTACTCGGTTTGTGAAAATTCACCAGCTCACTCACTATTGATCTGTGTGCTTTTCTATATTTATGTGACATTCAATAAAAAGTTCTTAGAGACGGATTTAAGAATTAAGAAAATCCTGGCACAATGGCCAGTGCACACAGAATTTATGAAGGTGAGTGTGGCAAGGTGTGGGGAGGCCTCTCTATGAGGAGTCCACATCCTCCTGCCCTTCCTCAGGGGTACTCCTTATTGATACCATCCCCATCTCACAGCAGAAGGACCCCAGCCCAAGTCACACAGAGTGGTGGCAGAACCAGGCCTGGATGCCAGCCTCTATCCAGTCTGCCTCCCTCAGCCCTGGCTCGGGCTACGCTCCACCCCAGACCTCAAGGGCTGTAGGCCCCAGCATGTGGCCCACTCACCTCTTCCTCCTCGTGGAGGGCCTCAGCTTCGTTTGCACCTGCTGGCTCTCCTGTCAGGGTCTGGGGAGTGGCCTGGAGCTCTTCAGAGTTCCCCAACAAAGGCTTCCACCAGAACTGCAGGGCCCGCGCCTTCTCGCGCTCTCTTTCCCGCTGTCTGAGCTGCCTGCCAAGCCATGGCCCCAGAGTGCTGGGTAAGCCCCCCTGACTCGGCCCACCATCCCCAGGGTCCCGAGAGTGGCCTGAGGAGGCAGCAGGAGCAGGAGGAGCCTTGATGCCCAGCCATTTCCCACTCCTGGTCCGTGGCCCCCACTTGAGGAACTTGCCCCACGATGCCTCGAGGGATGCCAGCCTGCAGGCTGCTCTCCAACACCCGATTCAACTGCAGCCTGGCCAGGTGGGCCACCTGGCTGCAGAGCACCTCCTCCACCGACATGCCCGGGAAGAGGCTGGCCATCAGTGGGAGCACCTGCCACGAAAGAGCCAGGTGTGGGCCAGGGCAGGGGGCAGACGGTGTGGTGCCGCCCTGCCCTCGCAGAGCCCTTCTCAGGGCTGACGTGGGAAGGGTTTACTAGTTCCTGATTTTACAGGGCCAGACCTCCTTGCCCCAGAACTGGGAGGAGCCCGCCAGGAGGCCCACCGGGAGGGGGCGCCCTGACTAGGCCAGCCGTGGGTGTCAGAACCGGCTTCTGCGGGTCTGACGTCTAAGCATGTGCCCTGGGGCAAGGGTACGGACTTCTCTGAGCTCTACCCTCCTCACCTGCAAATTGGGGGGGGTGGGGGTGGGGGGATAATGTTAGCGGTCCCGTGGGGTGCTGAAGAGGGGTAAACAGAGCAACGCCAGCTGAAGTGGCTGGAACAGTACCTGGCACGGCCTGGCATCGGCAGCTGTTAGTTTTGCTAGGAAACCAGAGCTCTTTTAGGAACAGGGAGTATCTTTAGGCAACCACAGGTATTGACTCTGGAGCCTGCCCTCCTGGCCCAGCAGGAACCTACCTTGGGTTGCTTGGGGCTGAGGAGCAGGACAGTGGCAACATCCAGGCGGGCCCCCAAAATGTTCTGCAGGAGCTGCCGGGTCCTGGCACGGTGCAGGTAGTATTGGGCCTTCTGGGGGTTGTGCCGGATGGCCACTGAGAAGTGGCTATCCGCCTTATGGAACTGCCTGCGGGACACAGTGGGCCACAGGCTGTCGTGCGCTGGGCCCCAGGGAGGGACATGGTGGCTCCTGGGCCCCACTGGGGAGTATGGGATAAATCAGGCTGGTCTCTGCTGCCCCACCTCCACCATGCCCCTCTGCTCTTCTTCTGCCAGCTACCCTTTTTTTTTTTTTTTAAAGATTTTATTTATTTGACAGAACGCAAGAGAGGGAACACAAGCAGGGCGAGTGGGAGAGGGAGAAGCAGGCTTCCCGCGGAGCAGGGAGCCCGATGCGGGGCTCGATGCGGGGCTTGATGCGGGGCTCGATCCCAGGACCCTGGGATCATGACCTGAGCCGAAGGCAGATGCTTAACGACTGAGCCACCCAGGCGCCCCTGCTGTATGAGACCATATAGTAGCTACACACTTAACGGCCCCAACACTTATGCTAGTACAAGACCCCAGTGTAAGTGAATGTTTTTAATATCCTGGAGTAAGGAGGGCCTTTCGAGAATCTCACAAACCCAGCAGCTAAAAATGAGAAAATTAATTTGACTATGATTAAATACCAAGTTACTGAGTAGCAAAACCACCACAAAGGAAAGCAATAAATAGGGGAAATATATTTTCCCATAGAAGGCAGACAATAAGCTAAGTTTCCTAGCCTACAAAGAACTCCTGTAACAACAACAACAAAAAGTTTTAATGAGCAATTTATTATTTTTTTAAAAATCTTATTTATTTAAGTAGGCTCTAAGCCCAGTGTGGGGCTTGAACTCATGACCCCGAGATCAAGAGCTGCACGCTCTACTGACTGAGCCAGCCAGGCGCCCCTTCGTGAGCAATTTAACAGCAAAACAGGCAAAAGGTTTGGGCCAGCCATAATGACCAACAAACACGAAAAAGATGCTGGACCGCACTAGCAATTTAAGCACGCAACATAAATCAACTGCGAGAGAGCATTTTTTTGCCTACTAGATTTGCAGAGTTGAAAACAGTCTTCACGGGGCGCCTGGGTGGCTCAGTCGGTTAAGCGGCTGCCTTCGGCTCAGGTCATGATCCCAGGGTCCTGGGATCGAGCCCCACATCGGGCTCCCTGC